CCGGGCGCCGCAGAGTCCGCTCGTAGACGCTGTACGGGGGCGGGGTCTTGCTCTCCTTGCGCACCGGCTCCTCCGGCCCGTAGGGGGACACGGGGGCCGGAGCCACCGGCTCGTTCACCTGATTTTCAAAGCCTGAGGTTTCCGACGTGCTGCAGCGGCTGAGAGAGGAAATCCCGCTGCTGTAGCTGCCCGACAAGACGGGGGAGTTGGAGATCAGTCCTGGGGAGTGGTATTCCACCGGCGACGGGGTGAACGACTGCACCGAGCCCTGCTCCGTCGGGGGACCGGAGGGAGACGCGGGGGCGAGAAGGAGACAGTGGAGTCAGGGACACTGTGATCAGCCGCACTGGGACCACCCCCCCCCCCCCCCGCCCCCAAGTGCACAGGTTGAAGCCCACCTTCCCCGCTGCCGCAGACGGTGGCTGGGTTTGCCGATGGAGCCTTCAGAGGGGTGATTCAGTTAACATGAGGCCATGAGGGTGGGCCCTGATCCGATCTGACTGGTGTCCTTAGAGGATGAATTTGGACACACTGGGGATACCGGGAATGTGGGAACGCGGAGCACAGACCACGTGAGGCTCCAGCGAGAAAGCTGCCCTCTGCAGGCTGAGGAGACCAAGCCCATGGACACCTTGATCTTGGACTTCTAGCTTTGAGAATTGTGAGAAAATAAATTCCTGTTGTTTATGCCACCCAGTTCATGGTGTTTTGTGAACTGCCAGAATAGACTAATACCCACACACAGACTCTTTTTTTTTTTTTTTTGGGTCGGAATCTCACTCACTCGCCCAGGCTGGAGTGCAAGTGGCATGTCCTTGGTCACTGCAGCCCCAACCTGCTGGGCTCAGGCAATTCTTCTGCCTAGGCCTTCCAGGTAGCTGGAACCACAGGCGTGTACCACCACCCCGGATAATTTTTTTGGTATCATTCATTCATTCATTTAGAGATGAGATCTAGAACCCCTGGGCTCAGCCAATCCTCTTGCCTCTGCCTCCCAAAGTGCTGAGATTACAGGCGTGAGCCACTGCACCCGGTCAAACTCAAACTTGAGTGTTGTCCTTTGTAGCACTGAAAATATGCATTAGACATTTATGTGCTGGACCCACCATTTACTGCATTCAGCTCACTGCTTGCTTTACTCCTTATTTTCAGATAGAGGATAAGAGTAATCAGCAAGATAATTCGGAGGCCTACAATTAGTCCTATGATTTAAAAGAGAAAGAACTGGCAAAAAAAGAAAAGAAAAAGAAAAAGAAAAAAGCTTTAAGGTCACTATTTCACTCTTCTAGCTCAGCAGGGCATGAGCTCAGAACTGCAGGACAGGATGCAGGGCAGCTGAGGAAATCTGGGGGATGATCCTCCCAGAGACCTTAGGATAAAGAACCAGAGGCACCGGACTCTGTCTGGGCCCGAAGCTACAAACTGGCAGCCCTCGGGCTCTAACCTCATTTGTGAGCTGTTTCATCTGCAGTGTTTTGTTTTGTTTAAAAAAAAAAACAAAACCTGATTTAGTTGCTAATTTATAAAGACAGAAAAATTTCACACAACAATCCAGTCTTCCTGCATTTCATAATGAACTAGAAGTGCTGGCAACGGCACACACTCTCTCAATGGCAATGACCTTCTGAAGCCCAGAAGGGGCTATTGCTCTTAGAAGGCGGGCACATGCATTCTTCAGTTTACCACAGTCCCCACTACTCTACCCAGCCTCTTTCACTCATTTATGTCGGCTGTCTGGTCTCATTTGGCACTCAAGTGTATGGTTTTCCCCACTGGGATCCTAAGGAAAGCAAGGCCTAAGAGGTGCTCTGTGAAAAGGCAGTTCCACTGGGAAATACTATACACCATGCATACTCTTCGTCGACAGTCAAAGCATAAATGCATGTTGAAGTCTTAAAGAAACTGAATAACTGTGCTCAGCCCAGTTATTTCTCAGCCCAGTGTTTTCTAAACTTATTTGACCACAGACCATTTTTTTTCACTTATCACCTAATGTCCTAGTGAACGAATGTTCCGCGGAACACGCTTTGAGAAATGCTGTCCTAGGCTAACTACCTCAGCCTCTCTTTTAAAAGAAAATTGGTAGACACACAATTCTTTCATTTAATAGAAATTAAGCAAGGCTAATGAAGAGATTCCAATTCACTGTAGTCTTTGTCAAAAATTAGACCCCATATTCAATGTAAGGCAGGAGGGCTTGGTCTTCTCTGTAGGGTTAAACTCATTGTTTAATTGCTGAAACAAAACACAAAAACAAAAAGCCAAACCGCACTAAACTATCAATTAAGGCAGCACACTGCAAAGCTAATAACTTGGTAGCAGTGTGCCCCCTAATGTATCCAGGAGTTATAGCACAAATGTTCCATCTACTTTCTCTTCCTTTAAATCCCATTTGTAAAGACAAGGCTTCAGACTGCATATGGCCAGCAAAAATATATATATATGCAGGTCTGCAGAGAGATAATATACACCAGCTTGCTAACTAGAACTATTTGGTAGCTGTTCAAACATTTTCAGCCCTTAGGTTCTTTTTATTGTCTAAGAATTTATCTCTAAGACTTATCTTACTACTATTCTTCAAAATTAAGTTAAATAACACAGATGATAGTTCCATAGCAACATGTGGCAGCACTTTGAGAGTCAAGGTAAACATAAAGATGTGGAAAAGCCATGTTGCTTTCCTTCCTATCACATCAAGATGACAGGCTGTGGCTTCCAGAGTGCATGCTGTCACACGTACTTTATTTATAGCAGCTGCATTGCAGAAAGACAATAAAACTAGCAAATTATTTGCACTTGCCAGCAAATTTCTACATCAGAAATTTTGGCATCACAAGGGAATCACACTTCTTTGCGATTTTCTCCAATTTGGGGGAGGGTTGCTTTCTAGTTTCTCAATTTCTATCAGCAACGGATGTTAGCACTACAGAAGCATGGATCACAACCTGCCCCTCTGTGTTTGCAGAGGCTAATTTGTCTTTTGCACATTCGCTAGAACTATCTCATCAACAAAAAGGACATGGAGCGTGTCAATCTTAAGTCACTCAGGTAAAAAAATCATTCTTTCAACACTCACTTCAACCTCATATTTGCATCGGGTGTGGCAGCTCTGAACACCAAGCTTTCCTATACACTGACAATACTGGCAGCCAAGCCAGTCTGATTCAATTTGGATAGAGACTAAATATTATTCTTTATCTTCATGAGGGATTTTGTATGTTTAGAGATGTTAAATAGCCTATGTCTACATACGAATCCAAATATCTGACCTTGATGGTTTTCCAGTTTGCTCCCCAGAAATTTTTTATCATCTTAATTCCTTATTTCTCATGATCAAGTATGTATTTTGAATGTAAATGAGATTCTTGGTATAGAATATTAAAAGAGAGAAAGTTGGGTTTTGCTTTGTCAGAATGAGTGAGGCTGAGGATAAAGGCAAAAAGACATAGGAGAAGATTTAGTAGATCTGAATTATTGATGGTTTTCAATCCGTGTGTGTTCTATGTCTGTGTGTCTTTGATGTGCCTTAAACTAAAAGGCCAGGCTGAAAATGTCCTAGGACTATTTGGATCATATTTCTTTCCTGATTCAGTATATGCACTGACTCTAGTTCATAAATTCTCATTGCTACCATTTGGAGAATGAAGTAATAATCTGAAAACAAATAGAAGTATTCATGGAGGAGGTTCCCCAAAGGGAAAGTCCAGTGTTATTTTCTTAGCCATCTTCCCCTACCCCTTCTTTATGTGTTCTTTGCCTTGTCTTTGCAAATGAAAGCACCCTTTGATGCACCCAGGATGAGTCCTATAGGAAAAAGGAACCCAGGCCAGTCTCTAGCCTTGGTCTAAAGAAGGGCCCATACCTTCAACGGAGATCTCCCAGCGGGTGAGGGGGATACTGATGTCGTGTGTCTTGCTGGTGAAGCTATAAGTGAAGAGAAAGGTAACGTTTCAATTAAGAAAAGTCAGACAGTTGGCTATCGGCAAATGCCTCTGTGTTACAAACCCAGACAGATGATTCAGTGCACAAGGACCTCCTAAGCAAGGGGGCGGGGAGAAACAAAATGATACCTCTCCAAAATGGGTTCCTCACCGAGGATGGCATTACCAAGATGTGGGAGGATTGGTGAAAGGTTATCAAGGCCTACATGATGGATACTTTGACCAAAATGACAGGGCCCCAAACTGGTCCTTTCTATTTCTCCAAAGTCCAGATGCTTCTTCACTGCTTGATCTATTTCACAAGGTGTGTGTAGAGATGTGAGGTACCAGGGAGCAAGCCTTCTGGAATAGTTGCAGACTTTGGCCAGAGCAGCAATAGGAAGACCAGGGTCACCCAGGCAACTCAGAACACGGTCCATGGGAATATATATAATAGCTCCCCCTTCATGGCCCCACAATAGATAGAAAACACTTGGCCTTGGCCATATAAGAGTCGTGTGTGTTTTCCAACCTTCACTCCAATGCCTCTGTTTAAGTCCTCCCCTTGTCCCCTGATGGTGATACTCTATGAATTTCATCATGATGGCAAAGAAAAGGGATCTCTTTGTCTCTCCCATTAGATTTTCAAGTCCTACGCCTGGGACACAGCAATGTGCGATGGCACTGCTCCCAGCCCTTGAAAGCATAACCATGTATGGTAAAAGCCAGCCATGACCCAGTCAATAGGGTAGGGCAGATCGCATTTCCCAATTCCACAAAGAGAGGTTTCAGTGAATTCAGGGTATGTTGCTCTGTGATTAGCTGCCACTCTCCAAGATGTCACAGTGAGGTTTGTAACTCATAAGAAAACTACAGAAAGGCTGAAAGGAAGGAAGACAGACAATTACAGAGCCCCACAACAGTGACCACAGATGATGACATAAGGACAGACCATGAGAGCAATCAGTGCAGAAGGGATGGCAGCCCTGCCAGTTAATGTGGGAGAGGTTAGGTTGCCTCATGCTCTGGGTCCTAAGGGATCAGGGAGTGGTCATAATCACACTGTGGGGTGTGTGGCCTCCCTCTTGTACGCTGGGACATGCTGTCAACATGGGCCACGTCCTATCCAGTTCTCTTATCCCATCGATTGAGGTTGCTGATTATGGAAAAAAAATCACGTAGGCATACAGAAGCCAATCTCAATTGGGAAATATATTTCTGTCATAACTGTGGCAGAAGTCAGTGGTTCCTTGGGACCCTCCTTCCTTTTGACTTAGGCAGTTGCTGATACCAGTCACCATGGTGGCCCCAGCACCAGAGCATATGTGCAGAGATATTTCTCTGGAAGGGTGTTTTCTCACAGAGACCTAAAATAGTTCCATCACTATCCTTGTCTTCAGGTGTGAACTGACCTAGGTACCTAATAGCCATCGATATTATCGTTCCTTAAAAAATACTTTTCAAAGTCCCAACTTTAGAGACACAGCCAGGTTTAAAGTGAAGACTGCCTGAATATATATGTACATCGTAAATGAAAATACAAATAATTTGGCTGGTGAGTTTTAGGCTTCTATAGTCACACTGATATTCTGATGTAGATGATCAATCAGCTTAAAGTTATTTTTTGTTCTGTTTAAAGATCTCACGTGCCTTTCAAAATTACTGGTGACTTGACTTTAAACTTTGTTTGGAATAAGTTGAGTATGGCTTCTTAAGGAGGACAAGGGGCCTGTTATTGCTATACATTCATAAAAGAAGGGTGTTTTTTTGTTTTATTTGTTTTGTTTTGTTTTTGGTCAGGGTCACTCTGTTGCCCAGGCTGCAGTGCAGTTGCATGAACATAGATCACTGCAGCCTCGACCTCCTAGGCTCAGGCGATCCCTCTGCCTCAGTCTCTTGAGTAGCTGGGACTGCAGGTGTGTGCCACCATGCCTGGCTAACTTTTTAAAAAATTTTCCGTAAAGATGAGATCTTGCTATGTTGCTAGGCTGGTCACAAACTTCTGGGTTCAAGCTATCCTTCTGCTTCAGCCTTCCAAAGTGTTGAGATTATAGGCATGAGCCACCATGCCTTTCCAGAAAGTTTCTTAAGATTCATTTTCAGAAGTTCTCAAGACCTAGTGAGCAGAAGGATTATCTGAAAGATTTGATAAAAATACAGATTCTAGGCCCTTACCCTAAAATACTAAAATTCCAACTCGGTAAGTCTGAGGCTAGGTCTGAGAATCTGCTTCCTTAAACCATCACCCTAGGGGACGTGATACCTTAAATCAACCCTTTGAGAAATATGCCCTTCAATACAGACCTCTCAAAGCAGCAGATAACTATGGGTGCTCACATCCGTAGTTATTCTCCACAAGCCTATGAGAGTCACTATTAGTCAATACATAATTAGGGACAGCCTGAAACCTTGGCATCAGTCCTGAATAAGATTGAGGAAAGCAGCTGAGTGAGCAGAAGTTGATAAGAATGAAATGGTTTAAAGCGAAGGACAGGGAAGACATTAGTGGCCTAGCAAGGTCAGGGTCCCTCCCCAAATTTGAGAATGGTGCTTTGTAGGAGAGCACCCTACAAAATCTGTCTGAGGAGCTTATCAGGAATGGACAGAAGTAATAGAAGTTCAGGAAAGAGGGGGAACATTGTACAGGAATTATGCAGCCTATTAAGGTTACCTCAGAAACCAAATGCCTACCTTTTTCTGAGGAATTCAGGACAAGTTGGAGTAGTCAGTAAAAGTTATTTTATAAAAGTGATTGTTCAAATGCTTCAAATACCCACCAGTCTGTGTGGGTCTTGGAGGGATAGGGGGAGAGATAAGTTTCCCACTATCCGACATGTTCTTGGCTTCCTTCCCACTGTCCAGGCTCCAGCTGCTAGGGGTGGGGTTCACAGCTGGAAGGGAATAACACAGCTAAAAACACAGCTTTGCCCTTCAAACGCTTGAGATCTTAGAAGAAAGTTAGAATTATCCAGAATAAAAAAAAAAAAATCAACTGGATTAAAAAAACAAAAAAACAGGAAACCTCTTGCATATAAACCTGTATTTAAATAGCCACCTAAGAGTTATAGTTGACATTTAATTGGATAAAACATGTCTCTTTATCTCTCTCATGCTGTCAAATGTAGCTACAACTCTTTACACTGGAGTGTAAAACTTGTTGAGAATTACAAATGTGTTTAGATGCTGGGTAACATATGGAAGATGTAGTCACTAGATTATTTTAAAACTCGATTTTTAGTGGAAATTTCTGGACAAGTAGCACCTTGGAATGTGAAAGGGAATGACATACTAATATTTTGACTGACAGAAATCTTGGGAAAGAACAGCCATGCTACATCATGTCATTGACCAACTCTCTGAGGAAAAGAACTCTTGTTTCTAAAATCCATGGATTACACTGAAGTGTGCCCTAAAAAAATGATTCAGAATACTGACAGTATGATTCTTATTTTGTAATCTGTCTGCTCTATGCTTCAGTAAGTTGCAGAAATACGGAGCAACCCTGGTAGAAACAAGGGCAGGACACACAGGCTGTAAACAGCTGCTGTGCAGTGAGGTTTGCAAGTCTTAGAACATTCCAGTGGCTTACTCCTGTACACACACTGCCACCTGATGGACATGTCAAGGATTTCAACATTTTACCACTTGTTTTTTCTTTTGAGTTGGGTTCTCACTCTGTCACCCAGGCTGAAGTGCAGTGGCACAATTATGGCTCACCGTAGTCTTGACCTCCCAGGCTCAGGCAATTTTTCCACCTCAGCCTCCTAAGTAGCTGAGACTATAGGTGGGCGTCACCACGCCTGGCTCATTTTTGTTTGTTTTTTGTAGAGATGAGGTCTTGCTATGTTGCCCAGGCTGATTTCTGACTCCTGGGCTCAAACAATCCTTCCACCTCAGTCTCCCAAAATGCTGGGATTACAGGCCTGGGTCACTGTGCCTGGCCTTTACATAAACACTTTCATTTGATGAGATGGAGTTACTTTTCTTAACATTTTTCTTTTCCCTATACCACTTAAATTTGCTTTGTGGTTTTCTTTGGTAGAAGGGGTGAAAAAATACCACATTTCCTAAGTTCTACTGACAAAGGTCCATGTTTGACTTGTAACATTAAAGCTAAATTTGTGGTTTTTAAAAATTTTTGAGTCAGGGGCTCACTCTGTCACCTAGGTTGGAATGCAGTGGCATGATCACCACAGCCTTGACTTCCTGGGCTCAGGCGATCCTTCCGCCTCAGCCACCGGAGTAGCTGGGACTACAGGTGTGTACCATCAGGCCCTGTTAAATTTTTTGATTTTTTTTGTAGAGATGAGATCTTGCTATGTTGTCTAGGCTGGTCTGGAACTCCTGGGCTCAAGCAATCCTCCTGCTTCAGCCTCCCAAAGTGCTGGGATTAAAGGTGTAAGCTACCACGCCTGGCCTAAGCTTATATTTTTAAATAATTTTGGCTAACACCGCACTAATTTCTACCTCCCAAGGAGAGTTTTACTGTTAATATATCAGAGTACTCACATGACACTACAGTCTAGTTCTTAATGAGGACATTAAAGTGTACTTTCCCGGGCTATTTCATTAGCAACTCTTGATTCACTGGTATTGGAGCTGTTCCTACCCTTTTTTTTCATGTTTTAAATTTTCATTTATTGAAAATATCACAAAGTGGGTCTATCAACGAGTAAGAAATAATATTACTCTAGTTTCTTTTACTAACTTTTTTCTATTTTTTGAGAATTTTTTAATTTTTATATAGAGGGTACATGTAAAGATTTCTTACATGCATATGCTGCCCAGTGAAGTCAGGACTTTTAGTGTACCCATCACCAGAACAGTGAACAGAACTCCTCTTGTTTTTAAGGCTCGACCTTGAAAGAGGTGGATGGGTGACTGTGCTGCAAGCCTCACCCTTGCAGTTGAGAAAGTCGCATTTAACCTGCTCTTCATCTTGGGTGGTGTTACACAGACGGATGCTAATTGGCAATTTGCTGCTATGCATGTGTTTAGTTCTCATGTTGTGTGTGTGTGTGACCTTGAGGCAGGGCATACTCCATTTTGCACTGGATTGCAATTCTTAAATCGTATTTAAGTGTACAAGAGTCATTGTAACCTGAGTCACCACAAACAACAGATGAGCTGGCTGAACGAGCTTTGTAAGGCAGACAAAGGAGGGGACCCCAGGATCAATCTGGGAAGATCGCGTTGAATAAGGAGCCTAATTGGTAACTTCGTTTCAGGAAGACCAGGCATTGCCTCAGTGACTCCCTGAATGATAACAGAAAGTCATTAAACAGAGGCGTTCCTAACTTGCTCAAATTCTGCTGTTAAATCGTACAAGAAAACAGTTTTTGAAGAACGGATCATGAGTAACTGTCTTTCATTAATTCCCCAAAGAACAAACTAGTATTGATCATTAAAGATCTGGAGCACTGCCTTCCACATAGACACACACTGCCTTCTACACAGAAGACTTGGAGAAAATGAGGACGAAACAGAGCCCTTGCACCTTCCAGGACTGATGAAGGGGTTGGCTTTACACCCACCTTTCTCAGGCGCAGAAAGATTCGGGTCACTGCGTGGCAAGGCCCCGTCTCCAATATGATTAAACAGCATCCTCTGCAAAAGTACAGGAGTCTGTTTTTATGATGTAGTATGCTGACACGTGAGACCTTCTAGAAAACGAGATGATTATTTCTTTACTGAAACCTTCTGTTCAAAATAATTTTTATATGGTATGATAAACCTATGAATGAAGAATTCAATCATATTTAAGGAAAAACAGAGAAGTGCTTTAGGTTTTGAGAAAGAACACAGGGTTTCAGAACTGCATACTAGGTTTTAAATGTAAATGGTAAATGTATGCTCACAATAAAATGGGTAAAAAAAATAGTAAACAGTGGTTAAACTAAGGTGTTCTTTATGAATGTAAATGATAATCTGGCAATAGGAAACACCATTGAGAATTAAAAGGGAAATATTAGCTCAAAAAATTGCTACTGAATGGGCTTTAACTCTGCATATTTAAAATCTTAGATTAGATTTTTTTTTTAAGTTCTTTTTTTCTTTCTTTTGTAAAGACGGAGTCTTGCTAGGTTGCCCAGGCTGATTTTGATCTTCTGGCCTCAAGCAATCCTCCCACTTCAGCCTCCCAAAGTGCTGGGATTACAGGTTTGAGCCACTGCACCTGTCCTAAAACCCTATATTAGGTTTTTAAAAATCTGTGAATATTCAATAATTTAAAAATTTTTCAATTTTATTTTAAAGATGAGGTCTCACTATTTTGCCTAGACTGGTCTTGAACTCCTGGGCTCAAGCAATCCCCTTACCTCACCCTCCCAAAGTGCTGAGATTACAGGTGTGAGCCACCACACCTGGCCTCAATATTCTCTAATTTTTGACCTACAAAAAAAATGTCAGTTTTACATTGTTCTACCTAACACATTAAAAGAAAAAGTGCCAAGTCCTTAAAAGTAGATGCACTATAGCAATGCATATTACTGACATTTTGGCAACATATATACTGCTTACAATTTTACCCAAAGCAGAAAACTGGGAGGCTAATCAGAGAAGGCTCCAGAATTGCCCATGCTGGCAACATGTTCTGGAGCATAAGAAACTGGGAAATTCCCTCACAATATCAAGTGACATAGGGAAATGAAACTGGTTAGCAGGTTCAGCCAAATATAGTCAGTTATAATTTCTATAAGACATCAGTGTTGTGCAGAGGAGCCATCCTGGGACTTTTAGGAACCTCACACACTGATCACACAATCAGCAAAGATAAAGCAATAGAGCCAAATCCCACTTGCCCTCATCCCCTTCCAAACGCAGCTACGGACTTCTGCCAGGATGGTGTAGAAAAACAGAGAAATTAGCTGGAGTAGAAATAACGTTTCTCTCCACTCCTAAATTATTCCCAAATAACCTATACAATTCAGGGATTCTTCTACTTTGAAATTCCCTTCAAAGACCTTGATGTTCCTGAGGGCTGAGCCCAAGGTCCCACTCCCCACTAACAGGGATCACTTCAAAACCAAGTTCCCTTACTCCTGTGAGGAGTTGACAGGGAAGGCCTGAGGACTCAACCACTCTTTCCTCTATGCATTCAAGAAGAATGGCAAAGTCAAAAAGAAATGGCCCTTGTCCTCATGGGTACCTCAAAAGGGAGTCGACTGCAGCTCTCTTAAATAAGTACAGGCAAAAGGAGACACTGCCGGGCAGCGACATGCTTCTCCTCAAGGTTCTTTTGCTTGAGGTTTTCTTAGATTTCTGCTACATATCCATGCAAACACATGTACACACAGATACTTCATTCACCCATACCCTTTGTAATGCTTAGGTAGCAGTAATGAAACATGGAGTCAGGCCAGGCACAGTGACTCATGCCTGTAATCTCAGCACTTTGGGAGGCCAAGGCGGGAAGATTGCTTGAGGCCAGGAGTTTGAGACCAGCCTGGGCAACATAGCAAGACCTTGTCTCTACAAAAAAAATTTTTTTTAAACTAGCTGGGCATAGCGGTACATGTTTGTAGTCCCAGGTACTTGGGTGGCTGAGGCTGAAGGATCACCTGAGGTCAGCGGTTGAGCTGCAGTGGGTCTCTAATGTGCCACTGCATTCTGGCCCAGGTGTCAGAGTGACATGCCAACTAAAAAAAAATTTGGGAGGCTAATCAGAGAAGGCTCTCAGAACTGCCCATGCTAGCAAAACACACACACACACACACA